GCTTTTTCTGAGATAATTTTCCTAATTTTGATGCATTTTTAATGGGACAGATTACAAAGTAAGTGTCTCCCCCCCATTTCCTTCCTACGCCACTGTTAGACGAAATTAGCATTTTTAGGTTTTAAAAAACCAGTTATTCATGTGATAGTTATAGGTTGTTAGGTGTAGAGTGCATACTTTTAGGGTATTTTATAATATTAGAAATGATTTAAGCAGAATAATTTAAAAACTCTAAAACGAGCAACAGAATTAAAGTACCCATCAGTAATGTTTTAAAACTTAATGTTTCCATTTCTTTCATTCTTTCTTAAACTTCATCCTTTTCATTGTGTTCTTTCAGGATTAAGTGGAGCTCTGTTTATTGTACTGTGTTTACAGCTTATCAGTTGAGTAAGAATCTGTAAAATCTGTGAATTCACACAAACTTTGTGAAACCTAAACTCCTTGTTTGACTTAATAACTTATCAAAAAATAAGTCTGTATGTGATCGTGAATTGTTAAGTATGGAAATTTGCCTTTTCCCTCAGTTGTCGGGCGAATATTAGGGTACAGCGATCCAGAATATTGTTGTACAGTATTGTCTTATATTACTTGTGAAATTTTGAAATTGTGTTTGGTGTTGTTGTTTTTTAGCTGCGGCTGAGCGGCTTATAGAATGGCTTTGAGTTGTTTTTTTTGTTGTTGTTGTTTTTTAGCTGCGGCTTAGCGGCTTATAGAATGGGTTTGAGTTGTTTTTTTTTGTTGTTGTTGTTTTTCAAGTACAAAGTTTTAGCTCATAGCTCTTCATCTCATGACTGATTTGAGATATAATTACAGTTTTGGACTTAGGAGGCCAAAACCTTTCGATTGATTTATTTGACCACGCCCAAGGTGTCATAAATTAATTTACTCCAGTTCTACCTAAAATAATTTCAATTTGAGGGTAGGCTGTTAAAGTTCCTGATGAGTAATAAAATAGAATCGAGTGTACGCGCGCCCCACACTTGATATTTCTGGCGCACAAAAATATAGCTAATAAAAAAAGGTCTCATAGATTAATTTACGCTAATCATGCCTAAAATAATTTCAAGTGCCGCGGCTATTGAAGATTCCCTCTCGTTGTTTCTTTTCCTGTTGTTATTTTTTGCGGTAAAGATATTTTCTGATTACTTTTCTGTTCATGTTTCAGTTTTTTGTCAAGAAACATCGTCACGCTTTAGTTTTTGAAATAGCTGTTAACAAATTGTAAATATTATTTAAAGCGCTAAGACTAGAATATTTTTGAGTTTCTGTTTGAAAACTCTAGAGAAACTTGAAGAAAGGTCATATAAATAAGCTTGCCAAAAGAGTAAATAGTGTTAAAATGCTAGTCACTCCTAAGCTCATAGCAATAAGTAGAGGTGGTTGAAAGAAAAAATTATAGAGGTCGTTACAAGCTTAATTTTTGTTACCTTAATGTTATCTTTAAGTTAGCAATCATTTGAAAACTCTTAACCAGTTGATATAGCGAACAGATTACATGTTTTATGTCGTGAACAAGTAGTTTCTAAATAAGTTGAATGATCTGCTGGATTTAAGAAGCATTTTGAACACGCGAATTTATTGCAAATTATTCGTGGGCTTTTCTAGTATATATAGAAACTAAGTTCTATATTTCCTGTTTTTTGGTGAGTTCGATATATGGATTTAGAGTTTTCCCTTTTCTCCAACTTATCTTTGATATATGGATTTAGAGTTTTCCCTTTCCTCCAACTTATCTTTGATATAGGGATTTAGAGTTTTCCCTTTCCTCCAACTTATCCTTGATATGTGGATTTAGAGTTTTCCCTTTCCTCCAACTTATCTTTGATATATGGATTTAGAGTTTTCCCTTTCCTCCAACTTATCTTTGATATGGGGATTTAGAGTTTTCCCTTTCCTCCAACTTATCTTTGATATGGGGATTTAGAGTTTTCCCTTTCCTCCAACTTATCTTTGATATATGGATTTAGAGTTTTCCCTTTCCTCCAACTTATCTTTGGTATATGGATTTAGAGTTTTCCCTTTCCTCCAACTTATCTTTGACATGCTTGTTTCATTAAGCCAATTTCTTATATCTCTACTGATTTATTTTCATATGTCACGTTTGTCTTCCGCGATCCCCAGTTTTAGCAAAAGTAAATTAAGAAATTGTCGAATAAAAATGACATTCTTATTTAAAGAAAGGATTAACCGGATCAACCCAGTTACAATTCTCGTGTTTTAAAATTTAAAATTTATACCACGGCAAAAATTTAATGAAAAGAAAAAAGTCATGGTGAAGTATTGGCTGAATTACAGTAAAAAAAGGATAGTTACTACCTTTAGCCCTCTTTTATACAACTATATTCCGTAAGGTTTCAAAATATATATATATATAAAGTTTGTTTCACCTCAAGCTTGTGAGTGAAATCACAGATTTTATTTGTTTATTTTATTTTTCTTCCTATTTGTTTTCGTTTCTATTTAGTCGACCTCAGTGAATAGGTGAAATTACGGTAGTTTATTTTAAATGAAATAATTTTTCCCCAATAACAAATGATTTAATGATTGCAGAGTGAGTAAATATTCTTCCACTCTCTTTACTTGTATGGCACTCATTAATCTCCCAAAACTATTTTTTTTTTTTACAATACAGTTATTTGTGTCTTTCAACTTAAGGTTTGAACCGTGTTCTATATCTATGAGAATGTTTTTTGTTTTGTTTTGTTTGAATTTCGCACAAAACTACACGAGAGCTATCTGCGCTAGCCGTCCCTAATTTAGCAGTGTATGACTAGAGGGAAGGCAGCTAGTCATCACCACCCACCGCCAACTCTTGGACTACTCTTTTACCAACGAATAGTGGGATTGACCGTCACATTATAACGCCCCCACGGCTGAAAGGGCGAGCATGTTTGGTGGGACGGGGATTCGAACCCGCGACCCTTAGATTGTGAGTCGAGCGCCTTATCGAGCGCTATGAGAAAGCATCCTTATTAGTTTAAAGTTGTTGTTGTTTTTTTACATTCGACAAACATTACATAATTACAAAATATTACCTAACTGATTAAAATTAAAAGCCCCTTCTAAATATTTTCAGTGGTATATATATATGCGTATATAATATATATATAAATACCAGTGTTAAGGCAAGTTACTCTAAAATTATGGGAAATAGTCGTTTTACTACTGTGGCTCTCCCTATGGAGTTATTTTCAAAGCTAAAAATTACTCGGCTGATATACCTTTCCCATAAAAAAACTATAAATTTTTGCATTTGATTTTCAAATGCCAACATTTTAACGACCACAACCAATGACATCTGACTGTAGTATTAGTCGCAGTTATTTACTATTTTCAAAAAGATGAAAAAACAATGTGTTTGCTGGAACACCAGAAGACGCTGTCAATATCACACCGACAGTAGATATGTTACCTTGTAAAGTCCAGATTTGTTGCTGGTGTTCTCA